TGGATTAGGATCGCTGGCGGGAGGACGGAACCACTTTGCTGGCTTAGAGCTTGGATTGTGGCTTAGTTGTGGGTTGGTCGGGCAGATTGGAGTGGATACAGCAATAACTGGGTGTGCAAGTGATGTACTTGGAAGTGGGCCAAGCCAGAATAACTGGGGCGGTTTCTTTCCCGGTGTAGTAGGTCGGCCGGCTGGGCCAGCTGGAGGGCGGCTCACAAACAAATGAACTAAGTGTTGTGATACACTGTATCACAGTGCAGCAAACTGGAAATTGTGCTGGGCACGCACAGCCCAGGGGGACAAATGCAAGTTTTTTCTGTCCATTGGCGAGTCGCAGGGACCAAACTCACCTTGTTCGACTGGCCGAGCTGGTGTTTTGACGATTTTGTCAATCTATTTTGTGCGTTGTGTTGAGCGTCTTCTTACGACCAATCGCTTAATCCCGCTGGGTGAGTCAGTGCATCTTCAGGATGTGAGACAGGGAAGGCACCAACTTGTTCAGGCGTCATCTGCGATTGTGTACGGTGCCCTCGGACGTGCACCCTTGGGCAAGTCGACTTGCTCGACAGGGATCGATATCTCCTTGGATATCCAACAGCTACTGGCGTTGCACACCATTGCCGACTATGCAAACTGAAACATCAATCCAGTCATGGATGAATCATTTACACAGTATGCTTTGCGTGTGCCTGGGCGCTACTCAGTCGTGACTCACCCTATGGGATTGCCTGCGGCTGTCGCCATTGCAAAAGAGGGTCCCAGAACTGAGCACCTTACCACCAACGGAGGACCAAGCGTCAACGAGAGTTGGTACAAGGGTAAATGTCTGTTTTGGAATGTGCAAAATGTGTTTGACTCCTACAAGGGTGTATCTTAGCCTTGGAATCTGTGCGGCAAGCATTGATTCCTGCAAGGGCACTCGGCCTGCCTAGGAGTCTGAATACAAAAGAACGATAAATGGGTGTTTCGCCATGCAAACTGCCAGAAAGAGGGCAGTGGCTCATGTTGTAGTTCAAGCAACCCAGTGGCCAGTTCAGGGCAGCTTTGCTACAAAGTAAATCCATTTGATGTCAAATGTGAAACACACGACACGACACTGTACCACGCGTTAGCTGGCTGCGGTTCCCCCATCGCTGACTCGCCAGCGACTGGCCCCAGCCGTCAACAGTGACAGTGTGAGATCCATGAGGAGCCTAGCCAACCGCAGTCCTGGTGTTGATCCAACCAGGTTCGCAGTGACAATGTCAACTGATACCCGATTCAGGGGATTGTGTAATGCTTAACATAAGATCGACGCCAAGGTCGCATCCCCTTCTTCACCCTCTCATCGCATCGGAGACTACACATAATGTTATCGCAGCACGGAACAGAATCTTGTAGAATCTTGCATGCACTTGCTTGGGAGGGGGTGCCCTTTGTTCAACCTGTTTTCTTTTTCTTTTCGTTGCAAACATTGCCCATGTTCCCGCTTGTGCGCTCCTCTTCTTGCGCGGGAGACTCTACAGCATCTTTCTACAACATGGATAGCAGTTTCACAAGGATTTGCTTAAAAGGGGGTGCCCTTGGTACAGCCCGTTTCTCATTTCTTTCGACAAGTCCTACCCCTCATCGCCCTCCCCCTGTTTGCTGTTTGCGATACTTGTGTTGTGCTCTCCTCTTCTTGCACCAGTGACTCTGCACCGTCCTTTCACGGTATGAAAAGGGTCTCGCACACAGTGGTCTAGGCGGGGATGCCCCATGCATGACCCCCTTCTCTTCTGTAGCGTAACGAGTTTTACCAAGTATTCCAATCCACTCATATACATTTGAGCAACGACGCCATTTCGGGGGAAGGTGCAGGACAATTAACTGAATGTACAGCGCTTGAAACCCACCAGGGTGAATGGATGCAAACAGTTGTGCTAAACCCCGTGCAATCGCCGTATGTCACATACAATTTGCTGATTACACGAGTGCGTCCACAAGCACGCACAGGTAACCACAAGGTGAGCTACAGCTACACTGCATCCTGTGGGCCCGTTGCAAGCTTGCGCATGGTACCCCAACCTTCAACGACTGAAATCAGGTGCGCACATATCTACACTGCTGCCTCGGATCCACGTTGCCATAGGAACAACAACCTCAAGAAACCATCGCACTTCTTACAGAAACATCCAATGCATGAGCGTCATCGCAGCGATAGTTGCTGAGGCCAGGAGCATGCAATGCAGCCATCAATGATGGAATCTGACAACGCTTCGCCCATGGAAGGCGGCTAAAAGAAACTTGAGAGCGACAGAACGACCGTGCACATACAACAAACTCCTATGCAGTAAAAAAAGTGGCGATCAGGAAAACATGCTCTCCCAGAATTGACAGGTGTTAATGGCCCAAACGGCACACCATGCCTTCCAAGCCACCACTACGGCAACCAACAAAGACGCCAGCCACAGCCACTCACTGTGCGCTAGTGACATGGTACATTCCAAGATGCAAGTCGCTCATTGACGAGCGCAAAATTGAACACGACAGGAAATGTACAATCCATGATTCTGGGACGTTACAAACGCATGTAAAAGCCTGCACAGTCAGTCCTGCAACAGGAACGACAGATACCATCGGAATAGGCAGAATATCGCAGTGACTAAGCTCGGTCCCCACACAACCACACTCCCACCCACAGCCAGTAAGCCAAAAGTCCGTCCGTGTTGTCATTATATATTGGTCACAGGTCTTAGAGACAAATATCATCGCCACAAGATAGGTTTCTTGGGACGCACCTCCATCCTGCACAATCCTAGCCCCCCTGCCCAGGGAGCAAGGTCATTGAATGGCAGTGTGTCAATCAAATATCAAGGAATTGATGGCAATTGAAAACACGAACTCTTGGCGCTCATCTGAGTGTCAAACGACATCACAACCTTCAGCAAGATATTGCAAACTTCACTGCATAATATTGCAAAATACAATGCACATAACAGAGATGTCATGAAAGGGGTCCCAATCGAACCATACAACAACAAATACACCATGCACCCACAAGCCCCTGACCCTTGGGGTGTGCAGAAAAGAAACAATGGCCAGCACTCACCTGCACACCAGGCAGATCCGATGCATTTCCTTAACCCACCCTTCTGGTCGAAGTGAGCTACAGAGCTCTGCACTTACCACTTTGGATACACTATTCTCAACGCCTTGGGGGTTGTGGCAACAAGGCTGCCCTCAAGCTGCACACGCCAGCAAGCCTAGAAGTCTGTCAGCGCACCTGCATCCGCAGAAGGGCAGACCACAGTCAGCAGGTAGCAGCAGCAATCCTGACCACAGCCCATTAACAAAAACAGTTGGGGCGAACAGTTGGAGCAACAGCAAACCAGGCCGAGTTTGCCAGGCAATGCCTGGGTTCCAGATGCGCTGCTGCAAACCACTCGCAATTCTGGCAGACAAAAGGATGGTAATGCTGGCAGCGCAGGGTGGCCAACTCACCTGACCTAACAGTGAGCAGAAGAAAGAGATCCTATTGGCAAGGAAGCGCCAGTGCTGCAATTGCCTATGGCCTGGCCTGATGAACTGTCATCTGTGAAAGCAGCTCGGCCAACGGTGGCTATAGTGAAGTTAGCAGCAATCCCTGCTGTGCTTGATCCAGAAGTTCTGTGGGCTAGGACTGCTGGAAACCGCGTGCGCAGCAAAGCTGGAGTGGCATGTTTCATATGACTCAAAATCGCATCCTGCAACCATCATCTTAGGGGCAGGAAATCCAGTGGCACTCGCTCTTCAAGGAATGCTGCTATAGTTGGATGGGACACTGGATGTATTGCACCCATCATCCCAGAAGAAGAATATTGCATTCCAGGTCCCACAGGAAGAGTATCACATTCTCTTGGATTGCATTCTAGGTGTCTAGCATGGCTGTTTGTGCGCATTGGGCAAGAAGATCCTGCTATCGATTGACCAAGATGCCCGCAGCGTTGTGGAATCACTAAGCATCAGCCAGGGGCCTGTTTGCTGTCGCGAGCGGAGCTGGATTCCAGCAACAAGAGGCCGGTATCAGATGCAGCGTGCTGAACATGGAAAAAATGCTCTGGAACAAGGCAGGAAAACCCCTATGAGCTTGTCTGGCGAAAGTCACCCTGGCGCTCTTCAGAACCAAGAGGCCTATGCTGACGTGATGCGGGTTCGGTCGTTGGTATAGTTCCAAAGGGCAAGGCTGGCAGGAAAAGCCACACTCTGTGCGGTTTCAAATTCGCCCTGACGTTCTCCACACCAGCCAGCATCAAAGAAGGCAACATTGAGCACTGCCCTGACTCACTTTACCGGGGCTTCAATTAAAACGTAAGCATCCCCACCCAACCCTACCCAACCTCCCGATGGCATATCTTTCCCCTCAAGTCAACCTCCCATATCCCCACTGTTCATAAAGATATCATCCTGAACATCAACAGTCCTTGCGTGTTAGGTTGAAGGTCCCGCTGGAGCGCCATATTCAGATTGCGTCCCTGACATCGCGAGGAATTCAAGGCAAAGGGCATGCTCTTTTCTCTGGTCCTGCATCATGGCGATCCACAAACTGACTGGAACGCGCGGTGTCCTCTATGTTGCCAAGATCTTCGCACAGTCTATGAGCCTGGAACTGTGGTCGCGTTGCCATGTGCATGTGCTACTACACGGGCTAGCACTGAACTGCGAGGCCTGACCCTAGTCTGAGTCCACAGCCAGATTCTAACCCAAAGTGCCTGCAAACGGACATAGCCACAATGCAAAAATTAGGATGCCTACAGATCTGAATCAATTGCAACTAGACTGCCAGCTGAGGCAGCCGCAAAGGGAAAGTACGCACAAATGTGAGAGTTCGACCCCCATCGCCGGCATCCAAATCTGGGCATTTTGGCAACATGGCACAGAACAAGCTGCAACAAACAGATCCAAGTGCAGGCACAGCAGGCAAGGTGCTACTTGGCACAATACTACACTCACAACAAAATCAAAATCCCAGGGGGCACGCACTTACCATTGCTCAGCATTGTTCAGTATGGTTTGTAGCGGTTAAATCCCCCACGGCCGCTCGAAGCCCTGCCATAGAGGGGCGCGCCGCCGCCATATCCACCGCCGCCATATCCTCCGCCCATCGGACCCCCACCATAACCGCCACCATATCCACCGTACCCGCTCATGGCACCTCCTCCATATCCAGCATAGGGCCCCATGCCGCCCATGCTGCCACCATACCCACCCATACCTCCACCATACCCTCCCTCCATGCCTCCGCCAACGCGGCCTCCCCCACGACGTGGACCGTAACCACCTGGACCACCGTTTGAAAAGCCACCAGATGCCCCATTCGAGAATCCACCGCCGCTGCCGCCCATCTGCTCGCGGGGCACGGCACGCTTGAGGTCAACAGACTTGCCATTGGGGAGGGTGTGCATTTGCACAAGGCACTTCTCCACAGAGATCTCATCCTTGAAGGTCACAAAGCCAAAGCCTCTAGATGAGCCATCCTTGGTGCGGACGATCTGCACAGCAGGGTTGCAACGAGCATCAGCATCCATCAGCTGTGAATCTTGCAGCAAACAATCTGTGCAATGCAGTGCCGCAGTTCAATCAGATGTCATCCAGGGCAGCCACTTACCACAGCATCGTCAATTTCTCCATATGGGTCAAAATACAGCTTGAAGTCTTGGTCTGAGATCTCACCCTGCAGCACACAAAAAGCGCATGCCGTTTCTGTCCACATGCCGGGTGCACAGTGACAAGGGAATTGAAGACCACTGTCGGAACCTACAGGAACCACACTTGCTATTCTAGGTGGCTCTTGTGCTTCAATTAAGAACAAGACAAAACAGACTGGGAGCAAACAATCTTGGCTGTAAAGAGCGCCCATTATGCGCCACAGCTGAAAGTGAAAACATTGAGCGACTGACAAGCTATGCTTGAGGTGACCTGAAAAGAGCGTAAAGGATGACCAGGGCTCACCGTCCCGCCCACAAACATCTTCTTTGTGAGGTTGCTGCTGCCACCAGCGTTCTTGGGAACTGCCGCCTTGGCTTCAACACCCTTCCCCATAATGAAGTGGTCACGGTGCTGCACATGACCCAGTCCAGACAGTCAGGCTCCCAAGTCCTCCACCAAGAGGGCTCATCAGCCCCCTAGCTTGTGCATGCACGTCGAAAGCAGGCAAAGGAGCAGGGATATTCTGTCTCCCAGCACTAACAGATGTGAGTGTCGGACTCCTCACCTCCAGGAACTTCTGAGCACAAGATGGGCTCTCGAATGTGACAAAACCAAACCCCCTGTTCTCCATGACCACAGAATCACTCACGGCACCCCTGCGTAAGGCATCCATGATCCTCTCAGTACTGGGCACTTTCAAGTGATGAGAAATGGGCTTGCAGACACAACTGTAAATTGATGCAAAGGGTGACACAACATTCGATAGTGTTGACTGTCAACATAGTTTGATCAACAGCAGGAACTCACACACACTTACGCAAGTCCTCTACCTCCAGCAGTGCCGGCATTGCTCCAAAGTTGTAGCACACAGGCAATACTGCCCCACAGCCACCATGAAGCATGCACTTACCACTGTGTCAAGCGGAGCGCACTGGCCCCATGCTGGGGCTGATACAGTGTTACAACATATTTGGACTGGTATGAAAAGCTGTCCACACTGTGCAGTGGAGCTGTCCATGCTGTGCAGTGTAGCTGTCCATGCTGTGCAGTGGAGCTGTCCATGCTTGCAGTGGAGCTGTCCATACTGTGCAGTGGAGCAGTCCATGCTGTGCTGGACTTGCATGCAAACCCAAAAATCAACACAACAAGAGGGGAGGAGCGGGAAAGGGCACTCATCTTCTCCAGGGTGGGGTTACAACTGGATATCCCAAATTCGATGCAAACTTTTCTGACAAAGAGGAACACAAAATCGCAGCAAAGCACGCACCACTGCTCGCAGTACTCGACCAGATTCTCCTTGGTGGTCTGGTTGTCCAGGCCCCCCAGGAAGAGCTTTCCCTCCTGCTTCTCCAGCCTCCTGTTCCTGGGTCCGCCGCCATACCCACCATAGCTGCCTCCGTCCGGGGAGCCCATGCCCCGTCCGCGGCCCCCGTACCCCATGCCACCCCCACCCCCTCCACCTGGCATCCCCATGCCCCCGCCCATCCCCATCCCTCCCATGCCGGGCCCCATGCCCATCCCTCCGCCGTACTGTCCACCGTACATGCTTGGAAACCTGCTGCAGACACAGCCAGAGGGGAGCTTTCAGGCACGCTTGGTCTCTGGTGCCAGGCGCAGGCTCATGGCGGCCGATGAGGGGCGGTTGCCTGCCTGGCTAGACTGCAAAGCTTAGAAGCAACACTCAATGAATCACAGTGCATATCCAGTGATAGGGACGTTATCTTTCCTTAAAATTACAGTAGTCGCAGGGCGGGGGACTTCAGCGAACGCGCGGGCCGCTCCGGTGGCTGCATTCCCAGCGCCCCTTCCTATTCTGATCAACAAAGAGCGGGGAAGCTTGAGGCGCCCCATAACAGTATCACGGTCGAGGCCGTGCGAGGGCAGATCTCACGCTGGCCGCAGCGAGAGGGCACACTGCAAGACACGGAGACCGCAGCATTGAGGTCCCCATGGTCGGGACCAGCCCCCCTCCCGCGAACAACAGCTCCCGCCATTCGCCGCAAACGTCGGCCAGGCGCCACGCGACAGTCCAGTCGATTCACCGGCGGCGCCCCCCAGCCCAAGATCCCCCAGCGCATCCCCAAGACGGCGACGCGGCCCTTCGCGGGCCGCGCGAGGGCCGCCGGTCCCCTGCCGGAGCGATGCCTGCGCAAGCCTCTCGCCCGGTGGCCTGTTCAGCAAGCGCAGCGGATGCCGACGCCGGGCCCCACCCTAGCGTGCCGGAGCAGCTGCCGCGCTGCTGAGGGACGATGGCCGACCCGTGGTTCGATCCACTCTGGCCTCCGCCACTCGCCGCACGCCGCACTTTACGCTAGATCCAAATTTGGCCCGGTGTCCGGGCTCTTCACCGACCGACCCATTCCACTCCAACCTCGGCAACAGCCCAGGGAGCGGGGAGTCGACCCGCCATGGTGCCCTGCCGCTCACCTTGGCGCCGCGGGTAGCTTCTCGCAGGCTCGGGGCGAGCGCGCGGGAGGAACGGGCGCCCCCGATCGTCGCCTGCGCCTGACTGCCCGGCTCGGGTCTCAGAAGGCTGCTCAACGGAGGCTGCTGGCAGGTGGAAGGCAGGGCTGAAGGAGGTGGACTTCGCGGAGTTTGGTGTCGCGCAGTGTCCTTGTGGGTTGATTGCCATTTTCCGTGCTACATGAAATCAAACTCTGATATTTGCGTTAATGTTTTATCACCGAAACGCTTGTGGCGCTGACATCGGAAGCACGGGCCAACCTGCCTGCCTCGGCTCCTGCTTCTGTCGCTGCTGGCCTTCCTGTAAAGGCTCTTCTTTCAATGCCTGTTTCTAGCGAAGCCAATTCTTCAAAGGCAACAGGAGTTGGTGGATTCTGGACGACATCGATGCAATGCTGGAGGTTTCATTGAACAAATCGTGGACACCGCTTTTCCCGGGGGAAATAGGGGACTGACGGTCATTTCCTTGCCCCGAAACATATTTCGAATAAAATCGCCCAGTTATCCCTTTGCATTTACCGGTAACCACTGATTGATTCATTGATTGACTCACTGAATCTGCCGCAAAAGGCATTGAGACAAGAGAATAACGTTGGAGTCCATTTTATTGAACTTCTTCAGTGCGATGCAATACGTTGGACGAGGAGAAACTAAATATGCAGAAAAATGCCATAAAATGCTGCAAAAGTCTGCTGCACGGATTGGATGCAGTTCGCTGGACACTACGGATTTTGGCCCCTGGACTTCGGGGAGAACTGTCACAGTAGTAGGTGCAGCCCACAGGCATAAACGCCAGGCAACAAGCGCATTCATTATGCACAGTAGTATTCGCACCGTCGCCTTGATGGGGGCCTTAATCAATGATTTCGACATTGCTGGGTTCACGAAATCCAATCAAGCAAAAAATCAATCAGAATCACAATGCAGAAGATGCTGCTGCAGCCTGTTGCCCAATGGACACTGCTAATTCCTTCGGTTTTACGAGACACAGAAGCTAGAAGAGTGTCCAACTACTGGCAGGGGAATTCGAAATTCTTAGCATGTAGCCTCACTGTAGCGCCTTCTGTCCTTTCAACTCGCAAAATTCGTTAATCATTCCTCACAACCCTGGATATGATCCTTAGTGATAGATCCATAGTGCTGCCTGTGGCAAAACACCATGAGTGCACGTTTGGTCTTGTTGTGGACAGTGGTTGGTGCATCAACCATCAGCTTTGGGGGACTTCACAAGAGACACTTGATGGAGCCCTCGACATCAAGCACAACAAAATTGATGCATCGCCCCTTCCCTTGGCGAAAGTTTTACAACAGTTTTGGGATTGGTGTAGGTGTCCATTGTAGTTCTCCGCTGGCCAGGCCGCTGATGGCTTTGGCAGATAAGACCCAGGGCGCTCGAAGACAGCAGGTGGAGCCATCACACCAGGCACAGATACCACAAGTTACGCAATTGCATGTATTTGTAGCAGCAACCTGCAGTGGCAGGCCTCAAGGGAAATGACCTGTTGAGCCACAGCCATTAAAGGAATCCCAAGCTTTCGCTGTGCAGAGCACTTACCTTTGAAGACCTCTATGACGTAGTAAATTACCCCTTATGCAGACTCTCCAGTGCCACACAAAATGCAATTGGCTGTTACAAGTGAAAAAGAGAACAGTGCAGCATGCCACACAGTGCTACAAGGATTTCAGAGAGTGCAAGGCTGCTTAGCAACCAGACTGTGCCATGGTTCGAGATAGCATCACACAATACAAGCAGTGTCCATATCAGAAGCAGCAGGCAATCCAGTGTGCTGCGAAGCGGCATTCACCAGACCAGGGATCATATGGGCATCCCATAGGGTTACACCAATTTTGGCAGTGACATCGCAGCAGTGCCCAAGTATCACAACACGACATCTCTCTATTACATGCATGGAAAGCACATCACAGGTCCTTGAAACCCAACTGCTCAGCGAAGCCTCCTTGCTTCTCGCTCAGACTCCAGCAGCGTGAGGATGTCGCCTACAAGAAGCACAAGTTTTGGTTCATCAAGCAGGTTCAGCAGGTTAGGTTCATCAAGCAGGTTTCGATCATTCTTTGCATTTCAGTTGTCACCAATGCGTGAAACACAAAGTCTTTGCACGTTGTTGGCGATGATCTGCACAGACACATCAAATGCAAGCCGAAATTTTATTCTACCACAAGAAAATATTAGAAGAATACAAGGACGTGCCCAATGCATCCAAGCAAGGACATTAACCCAAATGAGATCAAAGAGAAAGGCGGGCAAGACCCCAGTGCAAGCATAATTGACTGCAAAACTGTTTCTCTGGCCACACTTTCCTTGTTGCAACTAAAGAATACTGCAGAGTTATGCCAGTGTTCTGCCCCAAAAGAATATGCGGCTCAAGGGATCCACTGTTTTCAGCTACACTGTTACTTAAAAACAGCACAGCGGACAGCAAATCAGTCACAAATTTATGAACTTGGTTGTGCTGCAGGAGAAGGCTTTGACAAGTCACTGTCATCGGCAGCTCACCTTCCCGGACAGGTCCCTTCACATTTCTCATGATGTGACGGTTCTTCTCAGACTCATCCAACAAGCGAACACGAACCTGGGTAACCTGGAAATGCATAATGCAATGCTCACAACCAAAGACATGTACTGGCGGCAAGTTTTGACAGCCTTCAATAAAAGGACAGACAGCCTCCTTGCCCAATGGTCCCAGGCATACAGATGTCCAATAATACTAAGGTCCATCGACAAACACACAACAGGATGGGAGCCTTCGATAACACATTGCCGCGATGCTGCAGACAGTCTGACTCTGGTGCGATTTTGCCACCGTACTTCATTGGCAACCGATGCGATGACAGCTGTATTTCTCTTGCTTCATAATTTGTTTGAGAACGCAGTCATTCAATCGCTTGGGGACGAATTTTGTCAACCTTCAATTTTCTGACGCAACGGTGATTTGCTGGTGCATCAGTCCAATCCAAGCAACCAAGCGAACCAAGGGCGGTGCTACGAGCTGACACAAAGAACAGCTTTCTTGTTCATCCCTTCATCACTCCCAGCACCAGAGCAGAACACCGCACTGTATCAGCTACCCGAAGCCACCGAAGCCACGCCCACGTGACAAAGGCTGGCACAGTGGATCTTGGACAGGCCTCGAAAGATCCGACTCTAGGGTCCAATGCAGCAGTGCCCCCCCTCACCTGCCCACGGGAGCCAGTCCTGCCAACCACCTTCACGACGAAGGCCTTTTTCTCCGGCTGATCCTATTCGATTTTCAACCAGTACCAGTCAAGTGGTGCCCAATCAAACACAGACGAAATCGGGTTGGAATGTTTCATACTGCAGTCGACGCTGAAAAGCACTCCGACCCTGAAGTCACCCCAAAAACAGCTTCAACAAAACAAGCGCTCAACACCCCAGATCCAACGACCGAATTCTCATTGCCGCATTGATCCGTGTGGCACGACGTACTTGACAGGGAGCAAACGGCGACCGCAAGAGGTTGCCCCAAAGCGCGACGCCGGGGCGCCACACAACAGCGCCCCCTCGCGCCATCGCATGCAACCACGATGCGAATCATCGTCCAGTCGCGCAAGGGCCTAATTCCGTAAATCCAATTGTTCGGTTGGGTCGAAGGCCATGAGGTTCACTGCCGGTCGTTTGATCCCCCGGCATCCTGTTCTGGCGCATGGCCGTTGATGGACGCGCCGGACAGCGTGCGCACTCACCATGCTCCTTTCAAGCCGTCTGCAGCAGCGCCTTGCGCGACGGCCGGCAAGGCAGCCCTCCGCTGGCGAGCGTGCACAAGAACAGGCAACAGGGCGACGGCGGCGCCCATGTAAGCAGCCATGTATCGTACTGTGTGCTGGTAATGGGGGTTGCGGGGGGGCGGGGGGGAGGGGGGGAGGGGGGGAGGGTCATTTTCGGCCATCAATTGGTTTTTTGTGTTGACGCGCAGAACGTGACAGCAAGGCAACACCCCTGCTCCCCCCGCAGCGCGAGCCGTAGCCAGCAGTTTGATCTGGACCTGGCACCTCAAAGCGACGGAGGCGATGGAGGGGTGAGAGCAAGCACCAATGCTAGTTCGCGACCTATCCATTTGGTCATCAGTGCTGTTAAGCTCCTTAGCTTTCTGTGTTCAGTGTCTCTCCAAGAGCTCCACTATGGCGACAACTGAGACTAAACTGTGCTCATAGCAACACATAGCTACGTAGCTCGGTGTATACACCGAGTCGGTGTGATCGGTGGTATTCAAGCACTGGAAAACTTATTATGTAAGGGCCGTACCCTGAGAATGGTTAGTTGACGTGTTGTTTCTTACCAAATGCTGCTGCTGAAAATTGCGCCACCAATCATGCGTTAGTTACACACCAAGAGAACGGCTGGCTGTGCCTTGTGACCTTCGCTTACCAGGTGGACCTCGCTATTCATCTTTCCAATCATCTCCATGTGTCAATTCCTTTGAATTGCATTCGTTGGCATAGCCGTGACAAACAAAGTCGTTGCGCCACACAGGCAGTGAAGGTTTGCCCATCTATCTTGATCAACATTCTCGCGTTCATGGGCACACACCAAAATCTGGCACGACAGCACCTTGATGATGGTGAATTGCGATGCATCTTTTGGCACCCAGACGATGTTTCGTGCAAAGTTCCAAACTTGACTCACATACTACCACGGCAATCAGCAACCCCAAACTCCATCACCAACGTGTTGTCAATTCGATCAATCAAAGTCATGACGAGTTACAAAACCAAAATGAAGAACACACACTGTCCCTTTCTCTCTCGACTTTTTTTCTCTGTTTGTGCATTCTCGAATCCACGCATGGTTTTAAGCGCTCAACCTACAATAATATTGTGGCCTGATGAGAGGTTGAACAAATTCTGCAGACCATGTTGCACGTTCCGACGCAGCCAGCACATTCCGCCTGCCACATCCACAGCTGCACCACGCGTCCCATCACTCACCGACTGAGCCCCAGACGGAGATGGGATCCATAGTGTCAAATTCACTGTGGTTTCACACTCTCATGTTCTGCAAGCCAAGCATGGATCCTACAAGCAAATCAATCTTGATCTCGCTCAAACCAGTGTAAGCAGGGTATCGGCCACATCCTGAACACCAAGCCCTGGTATGATATGTCCTTGACAGTATGCCACACGCATCGGCTGGTATCTCTACCATCCTGCCAATCTTGCAATTAACGCAATGGATAACGGTACCCCTCCTGTGACCTAGCAACCATGATCCCATCAAGCTGAGCTAGGAGCAACGCCATTACGGCAGTCAACAAGATCCACAAGGCGCAACCACCGTCGCACCACCGCAGAAATCCACTTGTGTATGACTGCACGTCGCCCCAGCGCTGTCCCACCGTCAATGCTTAGGCAAACACATGGCAATATGCGTCAACTTAACAGTTGCTGCAATTGTGCAGTCAGGGCATCGCCTCTCGCAATGGGGCTCCCAGGCCGGACTCCGGAACTGTAAGTCCCAGCGTCTTGCACACGGAATTGCATTTGTGGCCCGCAAAAAACGCGTCCATGCCACGGGGCCCCAGATTCATGGCACCAAATCTGGTACGGATGTGAGGAGAGTGGCGCACAAGTTCTGTGCTGTGGATGACAGGATCGGAGAGCACGTAGTCTTTGCCCACCATCACTCCCTGCAAATAGCACAGTAAGGTTGAACACCTCAAAGACCGATGACTACTAGGCATGCTGTTGAAACCTGTTATTTATTTGAAACAAATGACAAATTCCAGTAGCTTTGACAGCAGCCGTGCTGAAGCTAAATCAGCAAGAGCTCCATCGTCCAGTGCCAGGTCATCTCAACCCCCAAACCGCAATATCCGACAGATGTGATAGGGCGCGCATGGACGCCACTGGCTGTGACAATACTCTAAAAATGACACACACTAAACAGGTCGCGACCTAAGCAATGACCTTGCCATCAAATGCAGTGTCCCTTCGCGCAGGTTGATGTGCCCATGTGTGGCGTGGACACAGTCGGCTCACGTCGTGTAAAAGTCTGCACAAGGCGAATCACCTGTAGGTGGACAACCATGAGATAACCTTTCGTTGCATGGTGCGTCCAGTGGCTGAATGCCTGCAGCACTTCATGCGCACCAGAGGCGCGGCTAGCGCCGCTGCTGAATTTCTCGAAATTCCCTTCTATAAATGGCTCCAGATTTGCGTAATATGGGCCCCTGATTCCCGCCGCCTGGGCGGCATAGACCCGTTGGAATGCCACCATTGGGCTGCCAGGACTCCGAGCCTGCAGCAATTTAGTAAACTCCAGGGCCAGGAATTCAGCCACAGATTGGACTTCCATGTGCTCCTCGTACGCCATGAAGGAGCTGATCCTGGATCCCTTGAATCTCTTGGCCACAAGTCTGCCATGCGTTGCAGCCACACCTTTGAACAGTGACATAATGTCAATAAGTCAAGAACGCAACAGCATAGGTATGCGTGCACTATGATTAAGACTAGTTCAGGCATTGATAAGAATATTCACAAAGAGCAGTACTGATGGTGGTACCGGTGCACCACATAGCCAGGCTGCATGCCAGGGACAACCACAGCTTCGAGTACAAGTGACACACATGTACCAAAACACAACTCACAGCCATCCCCTGTGTTGGTGAGTCTAAAGAGTACAAGGTGCTCCTGCATTTAAGTCCTACCTTCAACACAATATGCGTGAAATGCGTGCTGCATGCACCCTTCAGCAAATGGATTTGGGGCAACCTTGATTTTCATCACACCACTTGTCTTTCTGAGGTCCATTCCGAATCGCAAGTCTGAAATGTCGGCCGGCAGCTGAAACCAGGTGACAATGGCTGGTTGTTCAACAATCGTCACCCAGTCAGGAACTGCCTGCACAGTAAAGATGCCATCGGTGTTGCTGGCATTGAACCCCTCTCCAGCCGCAATTTCTGTTGACAAGGCGTGCATGGTGTCTCCAATGGAATTCATAACTGAAATGGCGACAGACCTCCGCATCAGCCCAGTTTCCTCCAGATTAACCTCAACAATGCCACAGCCATATGCCTGGGACAACTTGTTGAATTCGGCAATCATCTTCTGTGTGTTTCTAGGGAAGACATGATAAAAATTGTATGAAATGCCCTTTTCAAGAATCTTGAGAATCAGTTCCTCAGCGCAAAGTCCATTCCCATCCATGCCATCCTTTGCAATCTGATGCTCTGTATCATCCAAGTCACCTGCTGGCTGAAACCTGGAACCATGGCAGGGAGCATCTGCCACATGGATAACCACCTTTGTTGGGGCATCCCATCCAAGTTTGAGGACAGCATCTAAGCCACCGAGCACATCCTCTGGGCCATCCCCTCCACCACCTGCTTCCTGGTTGTCGATGAACCTCTGAACTTGTTCCAAGTCATTGCTGAACTCCAGTATCGACAGCCGGTCATTTCCGTCGCAGAAATCGCGATATCCAACGAAAGCCACACTCAGGTTCAATTGTTTGTAGGATCGTTTGATGTCATCCACAGCATGTTGAGCCAGTGCCTTCACTTCCTGGATGTGGGCCATCATACTGCCAGTGCAGTCGACAAGATAACAGAGCTCTACTTGCTGTGCTCTGCGAAATATCACATCAATCTGTTTTCTCCTGTGCCTGTCGACCTGCAAACAATGACCAGCAGTGTGACACATCAAGTACTTTCCACCGCTTCAGTGGATCCTGCTGGCACCATGACACCAGGATTGCAACAACGTCATCGAGATTATGTCAGTCACTGAAAGTGCTCTGTCAGAAGCTCCCTGCGTCGGCTGCTTGCAACTATATTGTGGTTGGGTCACCAAGCTGGCGTGACAACGATCGGTATAGAGATTGATACAACCAGCAGATCCTCCTAAGGTAGTCCCAGCAAGCATTGAGGACGATGAAGGCACATCTGCCCCAATTTGCTACTCGCTTAGAAAACGCTTGCAATTTGTTGCCTGAGAACACGCTTTTGAGAGGTGTCTATTGTGCCATGTGTGCCACCAGCACACGATCGCACTGTGCTTTTGAAGGTGGAACGCCATTTGCCATGGCATACCTTCCGGTTGGCTGTACAATCGAATGCCCCAGCAGAGGGGTTAACTCAGAGGACTGTGCGAGTCCCTGGACATACCTCCATGCCTTTTTCCATCTGGGCTTGCAGGCGATCGTTCTTTTCTTCCACTTCCTGAAGTCTGGCTCGTGTTGGACTGTCAAACCCTGTTGACTCTTGCAACAACAATACCAGCATCAAACATGGCTGCTACAACAAGCATTGATATCTACTGCAGTAAATATTATGCATCATCACATTGCTCCAATGTTGTTTTGAAGATTCAAACAACATAAGTGTCAAGTGTGCTCACACCATGTGCTGTGGAAGAGATGTACAGACTAACAGGCCCACAGAGAATAACAAGTTTACAGAAGCTCACAATTGATGGTGTTGCACCATGTCCTTCCTTGAACACCAAGGACATCACACTGACTTGGAGGCAGAACAAAGATCACAAACTGACTCAATACTGACTTGCTTGTCGTTTGAATGCATTTGAATGGAGATCAGCTTGAAGTACAATTCCAGCCTTTAGGTGATAATATCAATCCCTCCAAGTCCTTTATCTTGCCCAATCAAGAGGGTCACCAGTGTTTCGCATCCCATGGATGCCCAGTAATAGAAGCTTGCACATCAGATCATCGCATGTTTACTGACATTGTTATATTTGCTCATCTCTCCCACATATCAATACCTGTGGCCAATGGATGTCAAGGGCAAAAGTTGTGCTATAGAATCTCCAGGCATGTTCATGCTATTGGCAACACATGTATGCCATGCACCATTGGGAGAGAATCTGTGCAATAATGATAGATTGTATTCCCAGATGGCTTGTATTAGATCTTACATCTGTGGGGATCGGATTGGGAACATGTTTCTGTGATGTACGCAAAGTGGCAATCAGTGACATGAGGGACCATAGGATTCTTCATGACTGGCTGAAGCGGGCGTCACCATAGACATATGTTACATGCATACCAAAATATGACCAATTACTTTGGTGGATGTCTGCAATGACTGTTGATGTTTGTTGATGTTTGTAGCCTGTTGCATGTGAAAACATGCACACTGTCCATACACATTTTGATGTGGAGCCAGTTGTCTACCCAAACTGAGAAACAAGTATTGGACGCAAATCCAATCAACTTGTTGGGCAGCCAGATGCAAAAGCCGCAAATTCCACAAGATTTCAATGTGTACAAAGTTTTCAAGCTTCAACTACGCTGATGGTTTACAGTTGCAAGAATCGTCCATCACAATAATCACAACCCAAGGGCCCCTTTCAGTTCTATTAAAACTAAGTGTGCAATGAGGCATGAACTTTGGGATACTGTAAAGTTGCAGAACGCTACGATTTCCTTCTTGACTTGTTTCAACTTACATTCAGTGAATCTGTGCGTGTTGGAGGGCCCATCCAAAAAGTTGTGTTGCAAAGGAAGATGGCAAGAAAGACAACAGCGATGGCACCAAGCCAGGTTGCTGCTTTCTGCACAACACAAATATCTTTGTTTCAGAATATCATCATGGATGCTGGACCAAACAAGAATCCTCTTGAGCACAAAAAATGTGCTAAGAGTGCATCCTTGCAACCAATCCTCAATGCCATTCCCAATCCAGAAATTCGTGTGCATGATGAGCTGTCCCGTGCCCCAGATCCAATACATCTGAATTTCTTTTTGGCACTACAACCATGTGCTCATCAAGTGGACACACACTGTTCTTCATCACAAGTTGACATTATGTCGCATGCACATTTATTTAGGATCCGAAAGGTGCCCGCAGCTTCACTGTTCAACTTTTTTTTGTACACATCCTTAGCACAGTATGCGCGAGGCACACATAGAAACCAAAGCAAGCCACATCACAATATCCTGGCACTTTCACAAAGCGATCAGCTCAAAATCAACCTGAGTGATTCGCTGTTCAACATTCCTCACCCGATCGAGCACCTGGACAATCATCCCTGCTGTCTTTTCTAATTCTTGGGCCTCTGCTGCTGCTGCGGGAGTGTCATTCGCGGCACCTGTTTGCTCTGATCCAGCTTCTCCCATTCCCTCTGTGATATGCCAGAAATTTGTGTAAAAATGATGTTCATGTAGCCATGGGCGGGAGCCGAGCGCATGTCCTACGATGAATTGTTTGCTGTGGACCTCTTGCTACCAAACATTTTGCACGCGCGATCTCCTACTATCGCCTTTGAAATTCATGGGCAGGGCTTTGTCTTGTGGCGGCAAATGGCATCGGAAAGATTCACTGCCACAGCACAGTGAGACTGCTGGGCTTGTGGTGGGCGCTCCAGGGTACAAACAGCAGACATGTGATCAAAGACAGCAGAACAGAGTGCGCAGATCTGCATTCTCAGTTAGAACAATGGAAACACTGATTCCCCAATCATGCTACCTCCACTGTTGCTAGAGCACCAGCGGCTGTACTGAGAGGGGGCCGGTCTCCACAACACATATATTCTGAAGAGAGGGAGCTGCTCCCCACTTCCCTTGCCGGCAAGCAGGGTGCAGGGCATCTCCAACCCGATCCGTGCGTCGCCCGGGTCAGCGATGTTGCTGGCCCGATGCACATGCGCCCGAAGGAACTTGCATATGAACGCCTTGGGCAAAAGCATTCACACAACTGCTGGAACCGAGGACAACGCGCCCGACGCTGGCAACGCAGAATCGACCCCAAGTTCAGATTGAGCCGGCATCGGCATCCGCGCTGGTGGAGACAATGCGACCGCGGCCATTGGAGCACGCGCGACGCGTAAGTATCGCCGCCCCGCACCGACGCTCTGCGACGACTACCGGCACCACGGGGACGTCCACTGGGGCGTCAACGCCATCTTTCCTCTACCGCTGGCTGGCAAAAGGACAGCGGCAAGAAGGTTTCCCGTATGCCACTGTCAATGCGATCATTGCAGTCAATGCGGCGCGCCGGAAGCAATGTATTCAGCGTCAGGGAACCTACTCCCGCCAATCCTTCGTTCCAGAGCCGACCCTCGCTGCGCAAAATGCAGGGGTGCTCACTGTTCCTCTCGGCAGCCGCGCGAGGGGCAAGCAACCCGCCTACACGGCAATTGAACTCAAAGCCATGCGCAGCCGAAAGTGCAAAGTCACCTGATTCGGCCATATTGCCAGCGCTGCTGGCGTCGCGGTTCTGCAAATACCAGAATGCTGTCCCAACGCCGGCCGGTGCTGCTCTGGTCGCAGCCCAAAGTCTGTGCGTTGTCTCCAACGGAGGGACAGGGCAGGACGGAAACCAACATGTGGAAGGAGTGGCTGGTTGCAACAATACAGTTTGAACCGGCTTGTAAATGAACGAAGGCTGCAAGTCCTGTTCATCAAGTTTCATCAGATTGATAAGCATGTTGCACCTGCGCCTGCATTGTCGGCCATGCAAGTCTAACAAAAGAAGTGGGCCTGAACGTGTCCACGCCTGGTGTTCACTCTCGTGCAGGTCAAGTGGCAGAAGCAATGCTGCACTGCACTGTATCCGAGTCTGTGGGTGCTAACAGCCGGGGCCTTAACCCAGCAGACGCCACACAGTATATTTTAACGTTTGATGACTGGTGCCTTTTTCTCGCGTGCGTTGATCCAGTATGGTATAAGCATGCGTACTGGCAGATTAGGGGCGGAATTGCACAATGTGACAAGTGGAAATTCGGCGTGTGCTGTAGAAAACTGAGGCCATACCTTTCCAGGATGCAAGAAATGCATAGTACCCCACTGAGGCCTCCACATTGGTTCTGACAGAAGACCCTGGAAACGCTGGGCATTGAGCTGGGAACAAGTATAAGAAGAGTTCGTCCTGTCGAATATCCCGGCTCTCGAATCCACAGTCGGCATTATTCGCACACACGAGTGCACTGTGCATTCACTATTCCCGATTGTCAAGGTAATCTCATTGCCGATTTTTGCACAGGCATAGTTCTGCAGCAATGTACTGCAATTCTGGAATGGCGTAATAGCGCTGACGTGGCAAAGAAGCGCAACAAGCAAGAGAAGCACATTCCACCAGCCGTATCTCCAAATGCACACAAAAGAAGCGCAGCCGGGGCCGCCAAATCTTGCACAGGTGACTCCCATCGGCAGTTGTTCTTCTGAAGTCACACCGATTGCCCTTCTCCACTCGCATCCCCATCTGCCACCGATAGGTCAAGATTACATCGAGTTGTAGCAACACAGGCGCAACATTAGACGAGCCAACTTAGCAAACCCATCATCGCTGCAATCACTGTTGCACACCGACGCACAGCTCCATCGCATCCATGCTCTGCCCTTGCAGTTTCGGTATATTACTCCTGAAAAAGACATCCGCTACTATCCACAAATCTACTGCCACAAACAGTGTACAGTCAGGTCGCATCCCACTGCCCTGGGGCCCAATAATCGGACTCACGAGCTGCGATCCCAAGTGTTTAGCTCACTGAATTGCATTCATGGATCCCCAAAAAAGCGTCCATCCCCTAAGTTCCCAAATTGGTGGCGCCAAGTGTGGCATGGATATGGGCTGGAGCCGTGTGAGCTCTGTGCAGTGCATGGCGGGATCGGAGAGGACGTTATTGCGTCCAACCATCGCCCACCCGAAAGGGAGCAGCAAGTGAGAAATGCGACTGCAGATTGCAATGAACCAAAATTGCGGTGGCAAGAGCTTTAGTTGACAGCGGTGAAAATGCAGCCATCATCGAGTCATTGAGCATGGCCAATCCAGGGCTTAAAACCGCCACATGCTCAACTGCTCCAATCCAACGCCTTTCTGTACTGTCCAGTCAACTTACTTCATGTATTGATGAAATGTTGGGATTCTCAACAATTAACTGGGCTAACTGCCAACCACCAACAATGCAGGAATCTACAGCGTTGGTGCCCAGATTAAACAGCCAATTAGTTGAAAACTGCGGGTTGCTGGCGATTTGAGTCCATCCACCCCGTGTACAGGCACTCATCAGCGCACTACTGCGTACATACGATATTGCTGGTTGGAACAGAAACGCGGTACTGTGGATGGGACTAACGCTCAATCACTGAGCTTCTGGTTAGGGAGACGGCCGTGGGCGCGGGCGATGATGAGCCTAGCAGTCTTGGAGGGTGACCGGCACCTTC